TTATATTTTAGATTTTTTATATTTAAAATGAGATGTTTATCCTGTATTTGATTGTATTTATCTGTAGTTAGTTACACGACTTTAGTTATGGGATGAAATCGGATAGGGATGAAATTATTTAGGGATGAACGAGTTTAAGAGTTTTAAGAGTTTAAGAGTTTTTAAGAGTTTTAGCCAAATGCTTTATAATATAGTATAGATAGGTGTTCAACGCACAATATATTTTTTGCTTATAAATTTTAGAGATTAAGCCGTTTTGCTGGTAAGTTTCACTTTTTAGTCATTTCTTTACAAGGTTTACCAAAATAGCCTTAGGTTCGCATTTTTTTTTTTGCAGACGTAGATGAAAAATGTAATTTTTTTACGGACCTGGGTGAGAAATGTAATTTTTTTGTGAACCTAGGTGGTAATTGTAATCTTTTTTGCATACAGGGGCATAAAATGTAATATTTTTTGTCGTTTAGCTGAGTCCGTAATTGGGGACGTGGGTTTTTACAGACCTATGGTTATTTTGATAAACTTGAAGAGAAAATAGTTAGAAGGTAAACCAACCCTGAAAAATAGTTGTTTTAATAAATTTCACTAAATTTTAGCATATAATATTAAATCAATATTAATTTTTTTTTGATTTTCTTAAAATATATTGAAAAATTCTAGAGACATGAATTAATGTATGAGTCCTTGTTGCACATAAAAATAATGGCATAATTTGTTCCATTAAAATTAATCCTACTTTTTGTCGGTTTTAATATTTTCAAATAATATTAAATTATTTGTGTTCAATTTAAATGATTATATATCGGTGGAGAATTTTTATTCTTGTCGAGAAGAAGTGGAATCATGAGTAATCGTAAAAAGAACTAAAAACGTTTTATTTAATACATTTATATGAATTTTAAAATATAAATGAGTAAATCAGTTAACTGTTTGATCTTTAAATCAGTCTGAATCAATCTTGATTCCAATCACTCAGTATTTGAATTGATTTTTTTTATAAATGATCCTGAAAGAAAAAAAAACAAGAATAAATTATAACTGATTCAGTCTAGTTTAGCTAGAAACTAATTATAATTAATCTAATTTCTATTATTATTATTATTATTAATTTTTAATATATTAAATATTTCTATTATATTTTAATTATTATTTAAAAACATTATCATTAATAAATACTAGAAGC